GTCTGGCAAGGAAGAGGAAGAACCCTCTGCGGTTGCCGTAGGTGTATGACCAACACCGCATGTGGGACATGCTAGGAGAGGATGTGGTGGGTGATGGCACCGGGGATAGTCCACGCAGTAAAGACACATACTTTCTATGACTGCTTCCTGGAAGCACTGASGACACATGGCATGTTGCTGACATGTCATCAGTATGGAAGAATGACGTGCACAGTTATTTAARCATGGCAGATCAAGGCCACAACGGCATGCTGGGCAAGTAATCAGGGGGTGGGGGGGATGAGCACAAGACAAGGGATCACAATTGTCGTGGGAGAGGCTAGCAGCGACCATCCCTTCATAATGTTCGGAGCAGAGGCTATGCCGTGTACACGCCAATCGAACTGTACCTGTGCCACGGCACAATGGGAAGTCACACCAGGTGCAGCACTGTCATCCTCTGGGCATACGGCACGGTGCTCTTCTTCTATCCAGCGGACAACGTCTGCGAAATCAGCAACCGAATAAGGGTTACAATTGTAGGCAAGGAGACATGCATTGATGGCATAGTACGCACAGCGGCCTCGCTGTAGCACTATGCCATCGTTGGATTCCACGGGCTGTGCTGGAGATTCGTTCACAGCAGGAGGAGATTCGTTCGATTCTGCAGATTGCACAGGTGGAGGAGACTCATTGCGGTCTTGACCAATTGGCTCTAGTATGCGCTCCGGAGAGAGACGATCTTCAATCCGGGGCTCCATCAGGTAGCCAGAAGACGGGTCAATGTCATTTGGGCCAGGGGAAGAAACGGGGCTAGTTGGATGAGAAAGGGGCGGGTCAGGGGGGTGAGAACTGGGTGGGTCAGATGCGGAAAACGGAAGCTGATCAGCTGCACTTGTGCTCAGAGCGGCTTCCAGTCGTGCAAATGCTGCACAAGTAGCTGCACCTCGTGTCTGGTGCACACGGAGGCCTGCAACACTGAAGAAATCATCCCCACATTGCGGGCATCGGACTCGGCGTGTACTATTCCTGGCTACTGTGTATCGAAGGCGACGCTGTCGTTCCGAACGGTTGCGAGCATGTTGGCGGAGCAAATCTCTAGTAGCCGTTGGAGGCACGGTGATCAAGCCGTTCACGGCTAGACGAGGCCGCTGTCTTGGGGACGGCGGTGGAGACCGAGAACGGTGTGTGTGTGTGTGTGTGTGTGTGTGTGTGTGTGTGTGTGTGTGTGTGTGTGTGTGTGTTTGTTGTCACCTTCGCTAAGGCACAACTCCACAAAAAAAAGGGCATGAGTGTGCCAGACTGTTTTGTCAGACTTTCACTGAATCATCAGGGGGTCTGAAAAAACAGTCTGTCACAGCTCCTCCTTTCTTCTATATATCTGTGGGTGTGTGTGTGTGCATGTGTGCTTTTGTGTGTGCATGTGTGTGTGTGCGTGTGTGCATGTGTGCGTGTGTGCGTGTGTGTTTTGCTGTGTGTATTTGTTGAAGTGGATTATTTGTGAGCATGCGTGCAAGTGTGCAAACACTCGTGTTGCTATCACTTGTCTTTTTCTATGAGGGGCCTTTTCGTAGCGGTGTGTGTAAGTTATAAAATATTCCTGAGTGTAGAGCGCTGTATATCTCATATGCGGCAATGTGTGTAAATGCACGGGGGTGTGCAAACGTACTCCTGTGCAGGTGTCTCGAACTGTCGTCTGCGTGCAGATGCTGTGCATGAAATGTTGATTGATATCCACTGAGGGTGATTGACCACGCGCTGTGATTGTTCATTTTGTGGTGGTTTGCTTATATGTGTGTATATTGTGTTTGCAGATTGGTTGGCTTCGTTGAAAATTGCCGCGATCCATTTCTGAATGGGTACGTTAAAATTACAACCCTCATATTTCCTTCCTACTAGTGCGACAATGCTCTAAGCCTAGAACTGTTTGATTTGCAGGTTGGGAGTTCAAATCCCAACCAATTCTGTGACGCTGGTATGTACCGCGGTCCAAAAAACTGTTTGATTCTCAGAATTTTTGTCGCCGCCATCTTCGTAGTGAAGTCCAGTGCTGCCAAGTGGCTGCTGCTTCCTGTCTGATTCTTCAACCTTAGTCATCTCAGCGTTATGTCTCCCTGTGTTTTGCTCTGCACTCTAAAGAAATAGGCCATACAAGTTTGACGGGACATCCGAAGGATCGAGTGTTCTTCACAAGCCGCTCGTCCTGGAAACCTCTTTCTGATCCGAAACAGGTTTTGTCACTTTTTTTGTGTGTGATACCTCCTCTTTTTTTTTTTTGAACCAACCCATGCGCCTTCTGTTATGGCTGTCTCTTATACACATCTAGATGTGTATAAGAGACAGGAGAGAGAGAGAGAGAGAATACGTATAGAGAGAGAGAGAGAGAGAGAGAGAGAGAGAGAGAGAGAGAGAGTACCTATCGAACCACGGACAGTGGAACTAAGGTGAAACAATGACGGAAAACAGTCACGGTACGAGAAAGAAAGAACAGAGTCAAGTTCAGTCAACGGGCTTTTAACAAAACCGCAAGACGAGATGAATAGTAGCAGCTCTGCCCAAATCACGCAATCTTTATATACCGACCTTGACGACAAGGAATGCGAAGCAGAGTTCACAGAGTTGACCAAACCACGGTCAACGGAACGAAAGGAAGGATAATGACAGCTCATTGGACGGACCGTAAAGCGCAGAGTCAACGGATTCGACGAAATAGTCAACGGACTCGACGAAATCGGAAGTCAAAATGAATTGGCAGCACCATAAATCACACAATCTCCCTAGGCTGTAGACTTTATTTGAGCCAATTCTGTGGTCTCGATTTGCTCTCACGAGTTAGGGCCGACTTCTCTCTCTCTCTCTCTCTCTCTCTCTCTCTCTCTCTCTCTCTCTCNGGGGGGGGGGGAGGGGACTGTTACAGGGCTTCCCTTCCCCAGTACGTGGCCTTCCTTAGGGGGTTGCCCTGCCGGTCGGGAGGCAACCCCCAAGGGTTGATCCTTCCCAGTGACCCCCTTTCACGACAGGCGGTGGTCCCCACGCGGTGCTTACTAGCAGCACCCAGTCAAACCGCAGGGTAACCTCCAGGATGGCGGGACGTGGCGGGGGCATGGGTTCCCTAACAGTTCCTCAGGCCGCGTAACAGCTATCTTAATCCTGTGACAACGTCGTACAGTGCCTCATCCATCGCGTATTAGCATTCGGCTATACCCACAACCTCGCCTATCCCAGTTCAACCTGTTTCTTTTTTCAAACTTTCTTCACACTTTTTTTCGCCAGGAATGGTTGGATCTACGCTGAGCAGCAGCCACGGATTGATTACCCTACCCAAGTGCCGTTGGATTCGTGCTCGCAAGTTGGGACTGCTGCACAGCTGTCCTAGGACCAGATTGTAAGACAATAACTGCGTATGAGGAGAATTGCTGGCAACACACCCACAGAGAGAGACAGAGAGAGAGGGGGAGAGGAAGAGAGAGAGAGAGAGAGAGAGAGAGAGAGAGAGAGAGAGAGAGAGAGAGAGAGAGCTGGGGGGGAAGGGATGGGAAATATAAGTGCGGGTTTGTAGCGACAATTGAGAGATGTGAATTTTTGGCTTATCTTGTGCAGGGCAAGAAATAGGTGGGTGGCATCACCTTCAGAGATAAAATGCTGCCCACCCTTTTGCTGAGGTGTTAAGGAGCATCATCAATTTTGGGTCTTCGTGCCACAGTTTGAGAGGTACTATGCTCTTCACAGTTGTTGAGTGTGCGACCATCACGTATGCTCTCCAGCATTCATGAGACCGGCAGTGAATGAGAACCAGATGCGATACTTCAGCGAGAGACCGATGGTGAGAGCGACGCGATACTTCAGTGAGAGAGATGGGCAACTTCAGTGCGAGAGATGGATTGTTGATGACGGTAGAGTCGGAGAATGAAGAGCGGAAAAGGCTGGAGGAATTCTCGGTTGAGCCAAACAACTGCATTGGTACCCCTGCTTAACCTCCGTTCGTTTGTACACCACCAAGTACTCTTGTCCGCATCTCCCTGAAGCTTTGTTTGAATGCTAGGGACTCCGTTTTCGGCTACCAAAATATCCTTTTGTTTTCTAACTTTTCTTGTTTTATTCTCTTTTAAAGAAGGGCGACGGCCTCGAGGTATCATCATCGACCTGACCGGACCACGGCACTTCAGCATTGCAGTATTTTGCTCATCTGCTCCTAGTGGAGTTCGAACTCAGGTCTGTATTTCAGGGGGTGTACCAACTGCGCTAGGCCGGTTGGTATAAATATCCTTTTGTAATCCTTTTTTTTTTTTTTTTTTTTTTCCCTTTTGTGATCTAAGAATTACTAAGAAAGAGATTTAATCTCCAAACTGAGAAGTCAGGCACAAACAGTTTTCTGCACATCGGCTTTACGCGTTGTCAGAGCTGTCTGCTGAATTCCAGATTCTGTTTTGCTACAGAAAAAAATCAGCTTGTCGTCAGTCACACTGCAGACGTACGAACATCCGACTGTCCGTATTTGTCCAATCCGTCCGTGTGCATATCGATGGAGGAGGGAAGACACAAGTACTCGGTGCTGCTACCGACATACAACGAGAGGGAGAACATCGGAATCGTCGTTTATCTCCTAGCGAAGACGTTAGATGACATACGTGTCGATTACGAGATAATCATTATTGATGACAACAGCCCGGACGGTACCCAGGAAGTCGCTAAGAAGCTGCAAGATCATTATGGTCAAGATCGAATCGTTTTGAGACCCCGACCGGGGAAGTTAGGACTAGGTACGGCATATGTTCATGGCATGAAACATGCAACCGGGAGCATTATCATAATCATGGGCGCGGATCTGTCGCACCACCCGAAATACATTCCGCAGTTCATCAGGAAGCAACTGGAAACAGGTTGTGATATTGTGACGGGGACAAGGTATGCGAAGCAGGGAGGCGTGCACGGCTGGGATTTGAGGCGGAAGCTGACAAGCAGAGGGGCAAATGTGCTGGCTTCGACATTGCTCTGGCCCCGGCTCTCCGATCTGACCGGATCCTTCAGGCTTTATAAAAAGCAGAAGCTGATGGAGTTGATTCAGAAGTGCGTCAGCAAAGGATATGTTTTTCAGATGGAGATGATTGTGCATGCTAGGAGGTCACATTTGCACATCGAGGAGGTCCCAGTCAGTTTTGTTGATCGCGTTTATGGGACGTCAAAGCTTGGAGGAGCAGAGATAGTTGCATATCTGAAAGGCCTCTTCTTTCTATTTTTCACTATGTGATAACAGACGTTCCAGTTTCTCTCTCTCTCTCTCTCTCTCTCTCTCTCTCAATGAAAAGGAAATCAGCTGTCAGCATTCGGTATGGACTAAACAGTGAGAGCAGTTGGAAGGATTGTACTTGCTGCTCGCGTGATTTGGACAGGCTCGATGACTGTAAGCGACAAGGACGGCAAGTTTGTGTATGTCAGAGATCGAAGAGCATGCAGCACACTGTTTCTCACTGTCTTACTGGTGCAACAATATCTGTAGGTTGCCATGCTGTACTCCTTTCGTCCCGAACTTCCAAGAGCAGGTTTAGACCGTTTCGTGACACTTTTGCCTCGTACCATAATAAAAGAAGTACCAGCGGAACATGATCGGCTCTCTCTCTCTCTCTCTCCTGTCTCTTATACACATCTAGATGTGTATAAGAGACAGGGAGAAAGGTGTGAAGGATAGGAGGGAGAAGAGGAGGGAGAAGAGGTAGGAAGGATAGGAGGGAGAAGAGGAGGGAGGGAGGGAGGGGGGGGGAGGGATAAAGCAAGCATAGAAGATTATCCATCTTCGTTTGCTCATCCATTTTGTTATTTGTGAACGGTTTACCTTTGGAGGAATAAAAACTCAATTAGCAGTCCCTATCCCACCTATGTTGTTCTGACATGCTGAACGCGCCACAACATCACAGGACAGGCATTCCGGATTGAATTTCATGGAAAATGATGGCACCACCATGGAAATTGCAGCCTTCAGCTGTTAGGCAGGAATTGGTGCTCGGCAATAATTTGCATCGGTAAAACGACCTTCTGAGGGACTGCTAATTAAGGAACTATGTAACGTGGCCATTGAGAGGAAATGACAATGGGTTTTCAACTTTTCGTGACCGATGACGTGGTTGTCCTTATCCGTCGTTCATTTGGCGTTTGTATATAAACAAACACCATGAAGTGGCGATCTTGTTTTGTGTGTCCTCGGCCCGAGCAAAGGGAAGCGTTGAGTCAGTACTCAGTACTCAGTGCTGGACCTAGTTTCCAGACATCAATGGAATGGTCATTTTTCTTTGAAAAAGAAAAGAGAAAGAATGTGAGTGGGTATATAGTATATACCATATACCAACCGAGAGAGTCCCAGTGTGTGAAGGATGGGACGGGACGGGTGGTAGATGGGCAGGGATGGACGAAAGGAGGGTGAGGAGAACCGGGTAGACAGATGGGGACGGAGTGGTGGAGGATTTCCAGGGGCGAATGGACAGTCGCGATGGGGGCAGGAAGAGACCGGATGGGTATTGTGCGGGCAGGGCTGGACGGATAAAGGGTGCGGACCGTGAGGATGAGCGGGCAGGTCATGTGCATGATTATTGGATGGCAGGTCATGTGCATGGTTATCAAATGAAAAAAAAATAAAAAAATGGAGGACCGAATGGACAATCGCGATGGGGGCAAGAAGAGACGGGATGGGTGTTGGGTGGGCGGGGCTGGACGGATGGAGGGCGAGAATCAGTGGGCAAGTCATGTGCATGATTATCGGATGACACGTCATGTGCATGGTTATTGAACGGTTAAAAAAATTAGAAATGGAGGATGGGGATGGGTGGGGATAGGTCACCGTGGTAAACGGATTGGAATGGAACCAAGATGGGCCGGAATGGGTAGTGTTCGTCGGGATGCAAAAAGAAAGGGCATCCACAGTCTCATTGCCCCACTTCCTGGCATCCCCTCTCCCCCCCCTGCCTCTTGTCGTAGTAGAGTCGGGAGGGGTGACGTGCATGATTATGAGATTATCAGGATTTTCAGTATTCTGCGAGACTCTGTGTCTCTGCTTCTTCTTCTTCTTCTTCTTCTTCTTCTTCTTCTCCTGTCCTCCTTGTCGTCCCCCTCTACAAACGTCGCTTCATCTTTGTCTTGTCGTGTGGTCAGGGCATCCTTCCTCTCCAATTTTTTTCTCCACCAAAGTGGGTTAATAGCTTCGGTATCCTCAAAAACCTCACCAGTCTGTGAAGGACATTACGCCTCCCCTTCACTCCATCAAAACATTTTGTAATTCCCCACCCAAAAAAATAAAGGGTGGGTGAAGGGGAAGCGTAATGTCCTTCACAGACTGGTGAGGTTTGGGCGATATGCCGCTTCTTGATCGGCATCCAAAAGGAAGGTGGATATGATGAGACACTGGTATATTACTATACCATTTAGCGATCGTCCTCCTAGCACTATCGACTCAGATGCGATGGATGAGAAAGTGTGTATTGATGCATAGGTAAGCTTGTTCACACATTTTGGAGTGGGAGTTTTCACTACTGCTTCTTAGATAAATTCCACTGCGTCTTAGCTGTCTATGCGTACTGACGTCACCTCTCTCTTTTGCACAGTTCACAGGTCAGACCAGTAGGAATGCTTACGTTAGGTGAAAGGAACCTGCATCCCTATGTGGGAGAGGTTGGAAACAGAATCGCCTTCACCGATGGGCCGCGATGGTGGCGTTTGTTTGGGGTGGAATCCTGCGTCCTCCTACCATTGGACTACCGGTAGTGTAAAGCCGACGAGCCGAGGAACTAACTACTCGGAACAATTTGTCATTTATCTCCAGTACTTCCAAGGACGGAGCGTAAGAAACGTCGGTGACGTAAAGGTAGAAATAAGGGGTGGAGGGAGGCTAAAGGTGCTCTTCGTGTTTCCGTGATACTAAGGTAATTACCCCGTCGAAAGTACGTTTATGTACGTAGGAAGTATGGAGCACGCGCACCTTCAAGACTCGTCTTGTTGACCCATAAATGATTGGAACTAAGATGTTTTAAATTGTAGACACGAGGCGGGAGTAGTTGGTGCGGTGGTTGGAGATTGATTCTTAAAGCGTTTGGAAAATACGCTTCTAGTGTGCAAGCAACTGCACACTAGAAGCATATTTTCCAAAAGGGAGGCAGGAGGTAGCTTCCTACGCTGCGCAGCCCATTAGTTGGTGCGGTGGTAGGAGGTTGTGAAGGTGGTCGTTAGGTGGATGGGCTGCGCAGCATAGGAAGCTACACAAGTGTGCAAGCAACTGCACTCGTGAAAGGGGAGGCAGTGTTGATGTATCCCCACTTGCGCTGGCGGAAGCCCAAAATTGGATTTGATAGAGCTTTCTTGATTCTGTGCTTAGGAACCTGCGCCGTGCCGAGCACTGCCAACCTCTGCTAGAACGATGTAATCTAGAGGCATTAGTTAGGCTAAATAGAGCTCTGCTAATTTGCTAAAGAAAGTCAGAAGACCTAGGGGCATTAGTCAGGCGAAATGGAGCTGCTAATTTGCTAAAGAATTTTTAGAGGCCGTCTACAATTGGCTAGCTCCGTAGGATGATAGCACGGGGGATTAAAGACGTGCGTGGATGACGAGCAGATGCTAAATTGATGATACACTTGATATTTGATTATCAGAGAAGGACGGTGGAGGTGAGGAAAGTTTAGAACCCGTCTACAACAACTGGTTAGCTCCGTAGAATGATAGCACGGGGGAATAAAGAAATGTATGGATGGCAAGTAAATTATGAGTTGACGATACGCTTTATAGAAGTTGATACATAATTATCAGACAAGGACGGTGGAGGTGAGGACGTTGGTAAGCGATGCGTTGGAAGATGATGGAGTGAGCTGTACATGTACAGGATCTCCCTGTTCGAGGATAAGCGGCCACGGCGTGCAGTTTCATCTGCAGGAGCTAGACAATGTTCATCCTCTGATTTGTAATGCCAATAATATCCGGAAATTGTCTCACCCGGACGGAGGTACGTTGTTTATGCATGAGATTTCGAAAGGAATACTATCTAATATATCTCATGGAGTAACTGTACGGAACAGATGGTGTCCATCGCCGTAGGGATGATGTGGAGCGATGTATGACAGCTAACATAGTGCAGAAGAAGAAGTACCCCGATGTTGAGGTACGTCTGTTAAAAACCAGACTGGATGCACTCGTGCTGACTCCCTTGGATATAAATCATGGCGGACCCTCGCCTCATTCTCACTCGCACCTCACTTGCACTTCTCTCTCTCTCTCTCTCTCTCTCTCTCTCTCTCTCTCTCTCTCATGTGGGTGCCATCGCTAGTCGTTCTGGCCTTTGAGGGTAACTGGTGATAATTTTGAAGCCTTCAGTCAGTTACATTTCGTTTGTTGCCTCCGAGTGTCATGCCTGCCTGTATGTGTGTGGGGGGTACGGTGGGTCTGTGGGTAGGCTGGCTGTGTGGGTAGGGATGTATGTGTGTGTGTGCACATGGCGATCATGTCTGCACACATCCACATCATGGTATCCAACTTCATGCCACCACTGTCCGGATATAACGTTCGGGCTTTTCGGGGACAATCGATTGGCAGGGATTTTGTGGCCGCACTCCAGTGAATAAGGTCGCAAGCTCATGCAACACCCATCTTTTGAAAGCAAATAAGACCCGAACGACTATTCCCATTTGATACTTGAAATGGGGCAGCTTTCATGCTCAGAATTTAAGAACTACAATTGTTTTGACCAATCTGGAAAACAATCTGGTCCTTAGAAAGGAAACACTTTTCCTTCTGGCAGTAAAAGACGATGCGCGAGGGTAATCGCGTAAAAGGGAAAAGGAAGAAAGGGCGGAACAGCGAGGTGGAGAGATCACGAAAAACAACGCTAACGATGTCTTCTCTTTGATTCCTGAGGCAAAGGAGGGAATCCGATCATCACGACTTTCCCTGCCTGATCCATGCATTGTGCTTGTGGCTGCAGCGAGGTGAGGCCTACAGCTGGAGAGATGTAGGTGCTCGAGGATGGTCAGCAGATCATGTCTCATGACGGATGGTGGGCGGTTAGGTCAAGGTATCACTGCCAGTTATACCACCACTGCCCCGATTATCAAAAACACGACTGCAATCTCGGCTGGCTTGGCACGCAGTGCCATGCCAAGCCAGGGTCAAATGCAGGTGTGGCGTGGCTTCAAGTTCAGGGCAGGCCCCTGGGACCATTTCCTCTGTGGGACATTATGTCTGGAAAGCAAAGAACCCTACACGTAGCCGTTTTGAAATTTATCACCCTACATTGTGACCGTGCAGATGTCCAACTCGAGAAGGCAGCAAGTTTGTCATGCTGTCCATCTCCCCGCATTTGGCAGGGAGACTGCACAAGCAAGAGGCTGCAAGACCACGCGATAGTGCATCCTTTTTTTTTTTTTAACTTAACGAGATAGTGCATCTATCCAAAGGGAGAAAAACAAAAGCAGAAGAGCTCGGGTGCAGCAGCTCTCTCTCTCTCTCTCTCTCTCTCTCTCTCTCTCTCTCTCTCTCTCTCTCTCTCTCTCTCTCTCTCTCTGTGGGGCTGAAGAAGGTAGAAGATGGTAGTGCACACTACCTTCTTCCCCCCGAGCACAAACACACTCTGATAACAAATGTATGGAAGTGATCTTTCCGGCTCGGTACATCCATAATCAGGCTTCATCCGAGGAAGACGGTACTGGGGAGAGAGAGAGAGAGAGAGAGAGAGAGAGAGAGAGAGCTAGGAAGGCCATAAATCAATCGCTGCAAGAGAAAACTCTATTCGAGGCTCTCGAAGAGGTTTACAAGTGCTCAGAGTTGCGCATGCGAAACACACTTCAGTCGCTTCATTTTATTTTCTTTTCTGACCAGACTGCAGCTTTCCAGGTTATCTCAGCTGGTCGTCATTTCAGACACATAAACAATTACTCTGCTGGGCGAGGATCAGGTCCTGGTCCACCCGTGCATCCAAATGCAGCTCCTCAGCGGCCATGCTGTCAGCCTAGGAATAAGAAGAACCTGCATTCCCACCTGCTTTTCCAGACTTGTAGGATGATTATTGCAAAACCAGGCTGGCGTTTACACCAGCCCTGCCCCTCCCTCCATGGAACCTGCAGGCCTCTGTTGTTTGTCTAAATAAGAGCATTGTACGTCTTTTTTCGCTACTTTTTTAACAGGCAGATAGCCTACCGCGCCTCCGTGAGAAGGGGTAAAAAGCATGCAGTACAAAAGAGACTTTGTTATATTTCTTTTATCTCTTTTAACAGGCAGATACTTTCCGCTGGCAACAATACACATGTGGGCAGATTAAAGAGACTTTGTTATATCTTTTTGAATACCCTTTCAAGTTTCTACTTCTCTCCCTTAACACAGCGGCTTTTTGAATACCCTTTCTAGTAAGCTTTCTAGTATAGTAAGCTTTCTAGTAAGCTTTCTACTTCCCTCCCGTAACACAGCAGTACATACTACATACCCGACATACACAATTTTTTTCGCTGCGCTTTTCGTCATAAGAGATGAGAGTTAAACCACCAGTACTTGGCGCGGCTATCGCCCGCGGGAAAAAATAGAGTAGAAACGTTTTTAGTCGGATGAATTTGGTCGGTCCTGTAGTGGTCCGAACGTTTCCTAAAATCGTGGCTTGTTAACGGGCATGACTTTAGGAAGTACTGCAGTGGTGTAAAAATCACCAAAGCTGGACTACTCACAGATCGCCACCCGTGCTTCTAGCACCCTCACTGCGGTGACTGCGCTGGATGATGGGATCAAACCTGCCACTGCTCTCTTGCCCCATATTATAATACCAGCACCATCTCCATTCGCTTCCTGGGGCTAGCTAGTTTGTTCTGGAGTTAGCTGCCTTCTTGCCCAGAAATACAACATACTGTCATCATATATGAATTTAGACTGAAAGATGCCCCAAATACAGGTATGATCGTACACTGTATTCGGGGGAAGAAGAAGGTAGTTTCAAAGGACTGCTTCAGAGATTTGCCGCTCACCTTTCCTTCGATGACAACGTTGGGGATGGGATGTAGCGAAAGTTGCCCGGAGAAGCACATGCTGGCCCCACCGGTCCCCACCGCGTAGAACTAAGAGTCCGTACCCCAAACACGCGGGCAAGAAGTTCAACCTGCCATAATTATTTTGCTGCACTTGATGCCTACCAATGCAAAATAATTATGTCATCCTTGCACAGGGGCCATTATGACATTCAACCTGCCACAATGATTTTGGTAGGCATCAAGTGCAGCAGAATAATTATGTATGGCAGGTTGAACCCCTTGCCCGCGCGTTCGTGTAGAGAACCCCCACACCCTGGACCCCTCGGTACCCCACAGGGAAGGCCCCTTGGAACCCCTTGCATTCGTGCCGAACTAAAAGTCGTTAGGCTTCAGTCCTCGTCGCACAGGGATGACCTCTCCACAAGAGGTTCAACAGAACAGGTCCATGTCAAATTGAGGGGCTATGGCAACCCTTCATAGTGGCTATGGCAACCCTTCAGTCTGACCATGCAACCCTTGTAAATCGAGGAATGGCAAACCAGAACCAAAACAACAACAACAACAAAAAAAAAAAAAAAAAAAAAAAAACGAAAACAAAAATACACACAAAAAGAAGGAAAAAAAAGGGCATGCATATTGCACATCAAGTCAACTTTTTTTCTCTTCATCACAGAATGTTGGAAGGGGTCAAGTTCAAAGCTTCTTTAATTTTTTTTTATTTTTTTTTTTTTCTTAGCTTCTTTAAAATTTAAATGCTTCCTATCCAGAATCTCTTCATCCTTTCAATCCAGCAGATCTGTCCATAGACACCTTTAACAGCCTCCCCTGCCCATCTTCACATACAGCATTACTGTTTTCATCTTTTCCCCTACGCGGCAGTAACCGCCTTCGGTCCCATCCACCCAGTCAGATGTCCGCACCCAGATATCCAAGCATCACTTCTCCAATCTAATAGCCAGATGTAATCAACGACAGTACTCACACATATTTTCACATTTTCAGTTACCTCTGTGTTTTTCTTTCTCTCTCTGAGATTATGGACGGACGGAAAAGTTGTTCGTCTTTGGTCAAACTAAAGTGCTGAACTCATCCGGTCGCACGATGACTCTACTAGATTTTGCGACAAACGGCGTTGGGAGCTTGGGAAATGAATTTTTCTGTTTTTCGATCACAGCAGCTGCGCAACTGTATGCACATGCAAGACTGCCACGTCGAGAAGCATGACATCGACCGACGCATCCTGAAGCAAGTTAAAAAATAACATGAATTGCACCAGCCATCATCACGTCGCAACCCGAAAACATTGCCCAACACCATAGCTACTGAAGTGGGGATAAATTTCTCACAGTCAATAGACAACCGGCCCGAAGTTCCAAACCCCCCTTTTCCAAAAAGCCAACGTGGCGCAAAAAGAGGGGGGAAAGAGGGGGAGCGAGGGGGACTGGAGACGGCAAGTAAAGAAAGAGAATATTGACATGATCCCCTCCGTAACCCCCCCCCCCCCCCCCATCACCACCACCATAAGGGAAGAATGGCGGAGGGGAGGTGGGACTGAAAACTGGAAACCAGATTGCAGGAAAAAAAAAAGTTCCATCCACACAATGACAACTACAATATCAACCTTACTTTTATCCAATTGCACCAGACATACAATCATTTTTTTTTTCCTTTAAAAAAAAAAACAAGAACATTGCCCCGATCTCTTCGTGGGGAGCATGCCGTACTATCATTCCATTATGTCATCGAAACAAGGACAACACTGCGAGTTGTCCCTTGGCACTAGCGATGGATGGAAAACCATAATATTCTACAGACTGCTAACAGAGAATACCAATGTTGAACAGATTGCTATCGAGCTTCAACAAGTTGCTATCATTACATGTTTACATTCCAGCACCACTAGCACTGGAAGGGAGTTGAAAAAAAAAAACAAAAAAAAAAACCATTGTGTACATCACTACAGTTACCGAATAGTACAGTTACCGAATCATCAGTGCACTGAGGGAAAAAGAACAAAAGAAAAGAGACGGAAAAAAAAAAGAAAAAAAAAAGAGTGGTTTGTTCAACTTTGTTCGCATCGTATCATTTTCGAGAAGCGTGCAAGAAAATAAATATGTGAAAAGAGTTGAGACTCTGGAGAGTTGAACTGCAATAAAATCACCAGCCTCGGTTATTCCTGCCGTCTCGGCTGAACCGTGCACCTGAAAAATAATCTAATATGAGACATTAAATTCATAAGCGAAAGAAAGCAGTTTTCTCCACTGAAAAGAGCACCGTCCACTGGGAGCCCTGCCGCAAAACAGTCCCAGACCCGCTTCACGCCACTGATGGGCCCGGTTCAGTACGGCAGGCACTACCTTAACCCATTAAAGCCTGTCACAAAGCGGTGTCTGTGTGTGTGTGTGTGTGTTTGTGTGTGTGTGTGTGTGTGTGTGTGAGAGAGAGAGAGAGAGAGAGAGAGAGAGAGAGAGAGAGATCCAAAGTGCCTCACATCATTGTCCGCCATCACCAACCTTCTTCTTCTTCTTCTTCTTCTACCACAAATGGAAGGCAGCACCCAGAAAAAGGAGCCATATTAACTACTGCCATTGCAAAGTACCGAGACAATCATGTTCCTTCTTCTTCTGCATCTTTCATTCTGTTTGCTGCAGCCATTTCTTTCTTCATCAACACCCAAGTAATGAACCCAAACAAATGAGAAGCTCAAACATGTTGTGATGCACGTATAATTCAGCGCAACAATGCTGTCTCCAAAAATCGATGATAAGTCCAAGCTTTTTTGGTACATGAAATCTCCCACCATCCTATCCTGTCGTAGGGGACTGCAAGAAGTACAGCTGGCCGACCCGGCTAGGGCGGCGAAGGGACGACGTGACCACGTCCATCTCAGTGGTTCGGGGGACTATTTATGCATCGTCTCTAAGTTGTCTCTTGGTTTTGGTTTTCTTTTCCTCCTGCGTGAGATGGCCAGGAGGGCTCTCGCCTTTTGCAGAAAAGGCGGTAACCGATGCACTCAACACCATAACCCAGAGAAGAGACAGAGGTGTGGGGAGATAAGACAGATAGGAGGAGAGGAAAAGGATAGTCCCTTGTCAGTAGCGCAGTAGCCCCCACCTCTCGCCCACTTCCTCCTCGGGCATCTCCCACTAATTCCAACTCAGCAAATCAGTGCTCCTCTGACATTCTCTGACATGTACTTGCGCAGGTCACAACAATGCGCCCATCCTCCGTGACCCCGTCCACTTCAGTAACAGCTAACGAGGATGGCACAGGTCCACTTGAAGACGAGCAGCAGATCACACTCCAGGTACGCTTCCCCTCATCCCACACATCAACTCCACAGTCCAGATCCTCCTCCAACTCACCCATGCTCCCTCAATGTCGGAATCAGTGAGGCTCTGGACACGTCAGCATAATCACCCACAAGGCTGGCCCCAAGCACAAAGAATGGCACCAGCATAACGCTTAATCAGTCTCCCATCGTCGCACTAGCATTGACCCATCGTCGCACAAGCCGAACGCACAAGCAAGACTGAAATTCAATGCTCTCCAGCAGGCGCTGGGTCAACCTCAACATCAACATATAGTGTCGACTCTCGTTCACTAGCCTCTGTCTGCTCTCCTGGGTACGGAGGCCCAGATCGGCAGATCAGTCATCAGCCAATGGCCTGGAATTGCGTACAGGTTCAGATTTCCCACGCGTGTCCCACGTGGACCACATTTTTCTGGATACCTGCAGACACCCAACCCAAGACGCGTGTCCCGTCTGCAGCCGAGGCTTTAAACGGGTTGACTTTGACTTATTGGCCTGAATTCCGGAGCTAGGGTGGCCTGTTGACGTGTTCACAAACTCTTTCATGTGACTTATTCCGATTCAAAGCAGTTAAAAAGGAGTGAAGCAGAATCGCTTGAGAGCATCCAGCCGAAGCCCCGTCCACACAATGGTATTTTTAAAGATCTGTACATCTGGGCCCAAGGCCCTGCTCCGTGTGCAAGCACAGATTCAAATCCGGCAATCTCCACACAAGACAATTCACAGACGCAATCATATTCACAATCCACCATGTCATGCGCAAAAGATTTCCGTCAGAGCTTCACATTCACATCGGTGGGGGATTCACAAAACTTACCACGTCTCTTGACAGACGCATCCACTAGAAAACACATCATGGGTACCAATCTAACGCGGACAGACACTGCGATTGCGGAGGCCCATAAGTCAAAGTCAACCCGTTACAGAGGCCCATAAGTCAAAGTCAACCCATTCCGGAGGCCCATAAGTCAAAGTCAACCTGTTACAGAGGCCCATAAGTCAAAGTCAACCCGTTATGGAGGCCCATAAGTCAAAGTCAACCCGTTACGGAGGCCCATAAGTCAAAGTCAACCCGTTANGGAGGCCCATAAGTCAAAGTCAACCCGTTACGGAGGCCCATAAGTCAAAGTCAACCCGTTATGGAGGCCCATAAGTCAAAGTCAACCCGTTAGGAAGGCCCATAAGTCAAAGTCAAGCCGTTACGGAGGCCCATAAGTCAAAGTCAACCCATTACGGAGGCCCATAAGTCAGAGTCAACCCATTACCAGCCTCGACATTATGTCGAACTTTATCAAACATACCAAACGCGGAAGGGAGAAACGAACTTTGCAGTGTTTCACACATACCTCGACTTCGTTCTCGCTGTGGCAGGGAATCCAGCCAACCATGGGACAGATGGCACCCTGACTCCATCCACCACAGCACCCTTGGGACACATGGGAGTTCCAATAGAACCCACCAGCTTTCCATCAGCCTGTGTGGGACACCCGGCTGAGTTACCCCGCCTTGTCTCTGGACGCTTTGCACAGTCTGGTTGAGATTGGAAGAACGATCTTGTCATTCGGATCCGTAGCAGCAGTCCAACTGCATCTAGACACCCTTGCTTCGGGACAATTCCCGCTACCGTCGTTTACCCGAATAGAAGGCCCGGTCATAATCGCTGTATGTCGACTGAAAGTTGCATCAAACGTCGCGGTACGTTGAGCGAAAGTAGCTCATTGTTCGCCTGTGTGAGACACCCGAATGTGTACCGACTAGCCGCGTCTCAGGACACATTGCGGTCTGAACCTAACCACCATCTTTTCGCTCGCTGGGACAAGCAGCAGTCCAACTGCATCTACCACCTTTTTCCTTCAGACAGATGGCACTCTGCCCTTTGCTTGGAGCACATGGCACTCTTTGCTCTGAGAGTGCCACATCACCATTTTCCTTAGGGAGTAGGGTTCTTTTCATGAGAGTTTTCATAAAAACACCAAGGCATATCCTCTCATTGAAGTCGACCCTTGGCTGAACTGTGTGCCTCTGCCCTTGCGCACCACCTTCTGACAGCTGCATTTGCCCAGGACCACCTGCGCCCATGAATGTGCGCTTGTTGCCCTCTTCCATGGCGGCACTAAGCCATACCAAACCCCTGATCCTGGCCGTCCAAACACGTTCCATGGGCCTCGAGCCACCGACCTGTGCTCTTGATTCTGGAAGCATTTTCTCATCCTCGCCTCGTCAAAATAAGGGACAAAAAAGGCGTTCCTTGGCCATGGGTAGAGTACTGTGCTGATAACACGCCCCTCCACCTCTTCAATTACACTCACGCTCATCCGCATGACAAAATGGCATATGCAGCAGTCCTACACAATCACACTCGCGTCTTCAGCTGACCGTACCCGCCGTTCTCACATCTAACACCACAGGTTTCTGCTGACGACCTACCTTTCCCGACACACCAACCGCCTCCTCAGGGACTCAAAAAAACTGCAAGAGGACGAACATTCAAACCACAAGAACAGCTGCTGTCATTCTTCAAGCCACTCAAGTTCACTCCTCTGCCAGAAATCCCATGCTGTACATATGACATACGCTGCCGACTATGTGTTCTATTCGGATACCATAGTGCTGTGCTCCAATTCGGACTTCTTTGTGCAGAATGGAGGGTTTTCTTCTTAAGGCCATGACATTTTTCAGAGTGTGTCCAAAGCGATACCTTCTCCCAAAGTGGCTAGTGAGCCTCCGGAGGCACACCAGCCAACTACCAATAAACCCAGCAGAGAATTTTTTTATTTTTTTTTAGCAAAGACTACCGCAGAAGACCGAACCAGCAGATCCAGCAATTAAGGATTGTCTGACAGTCCAATGAACTGAGAGGAACTGACTGGAGGGAGCCCAAGTAGTCGAGCTACAAGTATCAGAGCGAAGAAGAAACCCAAATAGAAAACGAAGAGCTAACTCAAGCAGGGGTGAGGGGTGGTATACATCCTTCCATCCCCCGGAAGTAATCAATGCCGTCCTTTGGACTTTCCTACCGTAAAGGGGAGGAGCGTGTGTGAGTACTCGTTGTAATTCCTTTGACTTGCCGGGGGAATAGGAACCGGACTGATGCTCCCCAGAATGGAAAAGGCGCCAGAACCGTACGGTTCTATTTCATTTAAAAAAAAAAAAAAAAAGCAGAGAAATGAATTGAACTTCGTTAAAATTTCACATGCAACAGGCCATTCCGAAATCTTCGTCGAGCGCTTCCCACATTTTATATATGATGATTTCTTTCTGAGGACATTTCATCACCGTCACCATTATCATTCTGTAGAAGACAGAGTGACTCAATCCCTCCCTCCTCGACAACGTCTCCCTTGCATCTCAACAGGTTTACAGACAATAATATAACAGATCAAACAGAACAAGACTGAGGCAACGCAACAGCAGCTTGGACCACCACCACCACTCCCTCGTGCACTTTCTCAGGATCACACACCAATGATAGTATAAATGGGGCTATCTGAACCCTTACCCCTGTCTCTTATACACATCTAGATGTGTATAAGAGACAGGTTCAGCACGGAGCTGAAGTGCCATGAGACAATTTCGATTCCAATTTCAAAGGCACATACCATGATGGGTTTAAGCCACCAGTACATGCCTCACATCGGTCGCGGGGCCGTGTCAGAGGCCGTAAAGAGACGCCGGCCGCTGATTTCTTTGATCTATGGCGTGCTGGTGCCGACTTTTCCGGATGGTCGACCAGTTTCTTCTCTGCAAGGCTGGGGCTGTGTTCTGGCGGTTTAAGCCACCAATATCCACCGCGGGACAAGTTTTCTCTTCTTTCTCTGTGGATTAGGTTTTCTAGACCTCCGAGTTTTCCAGAACCTCTGCAAATGATACGAGTGAAGAAGAAAAGTAAAATCCAAGGCCCATCCTCCGTCACCAAGTATTCCACATATCCCCCCCTCCCCTCCTCACCCCCGCCGCCCCTCCACCCCCCCCCCCCCCCCCCCCCCCCCCCCCCCCCCCCCCCCCCCCCCCCCCCCCCCCCCCCACTCCTCCCTCCCTGGTCCTCCGTCCCCAATATGGAGGGAGGCGTGTGTCCACGGCACTGGTGCGCAAAGGCACTACACAGTGTAGGAGGCACCATAATATCAGTTTTCCGTCACACAACCACCATCACCATCCCCTGAGAGACGTTCAATTACTTCAGTTTAAGTTCACAACCGCATCCATTCCACAGAAAAAACACGTCTAGATCCCTACCACTGCAATCACCCATCACACTCGACTACATAGTGTACGACAAGCAAACCAAACTGCGATGGGAACCCTCAAATACCGCCAAAAATACCAATTCCAGTGAAATCAGAGCCATAGTAAACGTTTTCTCTTTATTTTTTACGGTGAGAAAAAAGGGCGATGGCCTTGAGATATCATCATCGAACTGACCGGCCCAAAGTAATTCAGAATTGTAAAATTTTATTCACCTGTTATGATCCTGGCCAATTTCGAAGCACAAAATTCATGAGAAAGCACAATGCCATCCAATTGCAAAAAGAAATGAATGAACTTCAGAGGAGAGAGAGGGAAAGAAGAAGAAAGAAGAAGAAGAAGAAGAAAGAAAGAAGAGGAAGAAGATGTACACCAACAAAGACCAATGAAGACCAATGATAATTCCCTTCTTCTCGCCAACCACTCTCCTCCTCCTTTTCTCCTCCCCCCTTATTCAAACAATAAATAATAATAATAAAATAATAATGTTGAATGGCTGAACCAGAATCAGCGTGTTTTTGGTAATCTAAGAGCTCGTGTCTTTCTCTGAATTTCAAAAGATTTGATAACGATCGCTATTTTTGCAGTCATTTGTTCAAGTGTGTTTTTGATCAAGAGCTTATTTGTCCGAATCCCTCTTCTACTGCAGGTACAACACGAGGTCCACCATAGCCGTGGCCACCATTCTCCTTCCTCTTCCTCAAGGCCGAGGCTATGGCGGACTGCCAGGGCATTGCCCTTATGTGCAAAAGACAACTCAAAGCAGCTATGGCTGCTCTACCTCAGGCCGCCATGCCTGAATCTGCCTCAACGCTTCTTGGTGTAACTCTACCTGAACCAGGGCCTTCCAGATGCAGCACCCACCAAGGTAATGAAGATGGAGTCCACCATAGCCAGGTAAGTACCTCTGCCGCTCCCCCTTCCTAATCCTCGTCTTCCTCCTCCTCTAGCTTGTGCTCCTCCACCATAGGTGAAGAGCTGGGCGCTCCTTCCTCCCCAGCAGCTCTGCTCCAGCCAGCATTTCAAGCAGTGTGTCGCCAAACTTGCACACCGCAGAATGAGGAGCTCTTCGCTCCTCCAGGAGATATAGCGGCCTGCTTGCCTCTTGGCCAGTGACTTCCAGGCCGTGTGGCCTCCAAGCAACCGGTACCTCCTCCCTTTCGGAGGGAAACATCATTGCAGACTCTGATATTGCCCGTACAGGCCCTAGACTCAGACTACTTGGACTGGTACCCGCCTAGACCTAGCCTACAACTACTGGGCCTCTAAAAATGCCAACTTTGTCTTCTTCTGCTCGGCATCAAGTACCCGGCACATTTACTTCTACTTGGTGTGGTACCGGCCTACCTGCTACTTGATTTTTCTCCTGCTGCAGTAAGTGTTGCGGGCCTCTTTCCCCGCCACTCGAGTGTTTTCCCTGCTGCAACACTCAATGTCACGGCCAAAGGTAAGTACCGCCCCTTTGGGCCTCCAGCACGGACGAGTACCCTAGCGGGTGACACACACACTCAAACCGACAAGCACTCAGACAGGCACGCAGACCAGTAAGCACGCACACACAAAAACTTAGAAAACTCGGCAACAAGAGGGAAATTCAGCAAGGCATACATTCCATTGGCAAAACTCATAAATCAGTTGTGTGCCTCAGTCCCCGTTTGGCAGGTCCTTACACTACCCCCCCCTCACAAGCAAAGTCCCTTCCAGCGAGTAACTCCATCTGAGTCCCTGACAAACACATCGTAAGCGTATATAGTGAAGAGGTTCCGTGAATACTAAGTAGCAGTGAGCTTTGCAGAGATTTTTGGAACAGCACTGGAGACTACCTGTCATTCATATGCTCTAACAGCGCGAGGTGCGGTACACAGCAGTTCCTTCTTGGAAATCCAATAGAGATCATCCAACGGGTGATACATGAAGTGAACCAGATACTGTTTGTTATGCCCCTCGTCGGTATGTTGTACAATCCATATATCTCGTGACCGCCTTTGATTGCACGGGGAATCATATTTTCACGGTATTCAAAGGTTTTAGCATTACGATATGGAAACAACTTCGATGTGTGAAAGACTGGGTACGTGCGCAGATGAGGAGGCACGGCACTTACATATGGAGGACCAAACTCATCCTTACCAATCACATCCAGGACTTCCCACGGACTGTAATAGAGAGGGAGAAGTTTGCGTGACACCCCCTCTTCGTCTGACAATTCAGACATCTTGACCCAGATATAACTTCCCACTTTGATAGTCGATGGTGCAATGGCAACTTTGAGTAAGCGATCGTACTTGGCACTGAAGCCGGACTTTGCTGGGCTTAATCCACCCTTTGTCAATCATCTTACTGATTTGGCTTTGGAGCTCCTCCAACTCACCGGATCTCAAAAGGCACACAAAACTCTTTCGAGAAACACCCCCTTCGACGAACTCGATCGTGCGTTTGACCGATCGCATGGGGACTCCATGCGGTTCGGCCAGAACTTCCGAATATCGGTTGAGTACGTTTTAGATGTTTGCTGGGATTTTCGAGGGTAGGGGATCAGAAAAAGGATCACCTAAATCAGATCGCAGATTAGTAGCGAAGGCAACCGAATCTGAAGTAGAATAATTTGGACTAGAAGTGGATGAAAAAGTAGTACTAGCACACTATGGAAAGTAGAGCTAGTACTAGCTGCAAAATTAGTAGGCACATGAGTGGAACGAACAAAAGCAACATACAATTGTTCATCCTCCTTGTGCTTGCGTAACTTCTTGCAGAATTGCATTGCATTAAGACAGGGGTCATTTGAACTCGCTCTTATTGTCTAGTAATATTGCACGTTCACTCCCCAAGGCATCATGCACCACAAAAAAATAATCCTTCCACTCAATCCACGTGCATTGGGACTGTAGCCAGCCCAACACAAGGACTGCGTCGAAAGGGTTGTCAAGTACATAGAAGTTTAGTGCATGTGTGACCGTCTTATCTTTGTTGAAGGTACTGCGCACACCTTTGACCGCATGCATGAACGGGAAGTTCTTTGTTGCCTACTTGGGTTTTACAAGGGGCCTGCAACTCCACTTGCTTGCCTACTTGGGTTTTACAAGGGGCCTGCAACTCCACTTGCTTCATTCCCAAGCCCACCTTGTGTACCACGTGTGGAGACAAAGTTAGTAGTCGGGCCACAATTGACGAAGACACGTAGGTAGCGGTGGTTGATAAGAAGTTTGAAGGTCAACTCTTGTCAC